TCTTTGTTTTTATTTGAAAGGGGAAGGGGGAAACTCGGTTTGGCAAAGCATATCGGGATTTTTTTTCGGAAAGCGTGGCGCAAAAACGCGATGCTGGCAGTTTATAAAAAAAAACATGTTCTATCACATACCTTTTTTTTTTCTTTTTGGGGGGGTTTCTTGTCTGTGTGTGGTGTCTTGTGGATTTGCTTTGTCTTTTTTTTGAGTTGGGAGATACCTTTCTTTCCCTTTTTGATATCGGGGCTCTTCTTTTTTCCTCTCTCTCCTGGTCATGGTTTACTTGAACCCTAAATTCCAAACATAAAGGCGATGTATAAAACCCGCCTCTCTCTTCTCTTTTCAATTTTTGGTTCCTGATATATTTGTGATGTGAACTATAAAATGTGGGTGGCGTGATTGTTGTTTAACGGTAATTCCCACGTGGGATGGGTTCCAGACATGTGGCTTACACGTGCGAACGTTGAGATACGTGGTGTTGAATAATCTCGGTCCATCCGCCACGTCTTGATGATCAGGTTTTCCTGGCCCTTTCGTGGTTCTTATTCCAATGGTAGGTTGTGTTGAAGATGTCGCCAGTGCATATTGTTTAGTGCCATGGTTTGTTTTGTTGAGCATGTATCAACTGCTCGGTTTTCGTCCAAGACTCAATGATGAATTTCTTTTGCTACTTCAATCTATTTCCTTTCTCATTTTCTCAGTATTATTATCTCACAAGACATTTTGTCCAACTATATAAATGGCCAGATTGAGTCTCCAAGATGTATTGTCGTTGATGAACAAAGAGCATAAGGTTGTGCATAAATTCTGATGTCGTGGGATGGTTTTCTGGAATTCGAGATAGATTATTTCACGTTTTGACTTGATCCCCATTGTCTGATTTGAATAGTTTGAGCTTGTGTCGAATCACAAAGACATTTGTCTCTCATAATGTTCATTATCAATCACGGCTCATTCCATCCCAGCTTATGTCCTGCTCTTTCCCTCAGATTTCTATTACACAGCGGGGGGGTTTTCGTTTATTGTCGAGAGCATTTGCTATTTGACCTGGAGTAACGTCGTGTTGATGAGTTCAGTAAACAGAGGGGTTCTTTCCATTATATTGTTTCCAATAAATTAAGCTCATTGAGTCCGTACAAGTCCGGATGATTCTGTAGACCCGCAATTGTGGTCCCTCGTTCCTTCCTTTTCTTGACGACGGCGGGGATGGAGATAGATCATCTGGACGTTTTACCCGCTTTTATTTTTTATTTTAAAGAGCTATTTAAATAGAGGTCCTCTCTCTCCAGATATGAATTCCTTTTCTTCCTTCTTACAACTAAAAAGTTGCAGTCAACTGAGCGACCCAGCGACTTTTCAATTCTACCACTCACCACGCACTACCTGCACTTGCCCTGCCTCTGCCCTGCCCTCTGCAGCTACTTTTGTGACTCTGCAAACAAAGTTCTCTTTACAAACAAGATTGCTACTCGTAGGTCCTTTTTCCTCTTTCATCTCCTTCATCTCTCGATTCTGCGCTGTCGCCTCGATACAGTCCACGCAAGAACGAGAATTGAGTTGGTTCAACATTTCTTCTTCTAACAACATTTTTTTTTCTATCACAGAACATCTCTACTCTTCATCATCATCAACTACCAATCGCGACCGTCGCAGACAACAACCAGACACCACTTCCCAAGATGACTCAATCGCGCGATTCCAGCACGATGCCCAACCCGACATCCCAACCTCACAACATCGCCAACAACACCGCGAGTGACAATAGCTCCAGGTAAGTTTTCAATCACCCCCTCCTCACTCACACCTAACTAACCGTACTCCCTAGCTGGTTGACCGAACGCATAGTCTTCATCCAAGTCGGCACCGGACCCCAAAAGAAACGTTTTCCCGTCCACGAGAAGCTCATCACCGCCAACTCTCCCTTCTTTGACGAATACTTCAACAACCCCGAGCCCGGAGAGGAACTTCCCGATATCATGAAGCTTCCCGACATTGACGTTCAGATCTTTACCAAATTCATGAACTGGGTCTATGCTACCTCTCATTCCCTCCGAGCCCGTTTCCGTTTCCCCATGCCTGGTACCCCCGAAGCCCAAGGAATGACCGTTCGTGATTATCTCGCGATGTACGTCATGGGTTATCGCTTTCAGATGTATGGACTCCGCAATGCGGTTCTGGATGTGCTTTATGACTATTACTCTGCTCCGCCGAACGAGAGGGACGAGGTCAATATGGAGGATGTCAAGTATATCTTTGATAACACCCCGACGGATAGTCCGATGAGGAGGTATTTGGTTTGTCAGTTGCTTTTTTATTTCTTTGGGAGGGAGAGGGCTGGTCAGCCTTTGCCGAAGGAATGGGCTACGGTGCTTGGGGAGCAAGGGGATATTGGGTTTAGTATGTGGAGGATGCTGAATGATTGGGCTTGGGGGTTTGAGAATCAGGTGCCGAGGATGATTGTGAAGCCGAGGATTTATTTTTATGATGAGCCGGTCAGGGTTAAGGTTGAGAAGCAGGAGGGTGGAACTGGTGGAGTGGTTGGGGGGGATACGAAGGAGGGGGTGAGTGGGAATGGGGCGTTTGGACCTGTTCCGCTTGGGGGGTTTGGAGCTACGCAGGCTAAGATTGGTGGTGGTGGAGGGGTTAGGGAGAGTCATGTTCTTGATGGTTGAGGAGGGATGATGGTGGAAGGTATGGACTCTTTTTTCTTCTTTTTTTGGGAGAGATGTGTTGCTTGAGAAAAGGAAACGAAAAAGATAAAAGGAAAGAGAGGGAAGGTGGAATGGATTCTTTTGCGAGGAGAATTGCTTCCTTTCTTGGGATCTTTTACTTGAGGCGTCTTTAAAGGTTATGAACCACGAGACGGATGGAGTTGTGCCAGGGGAAAGCACAAAATCGGCATTGGAGCTTTCTTTTTTTGCTCCTTTCTTTCTCTTCTTTTTATTTTCACAGCAATTCGGATTCGATCATCTAAATTTTAGATGGAATCTGATATGGCGTTTATGGTCTGCTTTTCTTTCTGGGATGGCAGGACATGGGAATGGGGGTCGTCATTCTAGAGGAGGAAGAGAAAGCTTTCTCTTCAAGCACTATTCTCAGAAGTTTGATCTGGGGCATATGGACGAAGGAAAAGAGGCGGAGGGAGACATTCATCCTGCGAAAATGAGATTTTTTTTGGCTCTCTTATCTTACGTATTCTGAGGATTTGAGAGATATTATGCCCTGCTTTATGTGCAGGTGGACACGATTGGGCGAATGTATTGGGGGTAGATAGATACCTTTAGTTTTGATGAATACATTTTAAAAACTATATCTTGGTGATTTCTCTTGTGTTGTGTGTGTGTTATTTGTGTGGCTGATTTGCTATAAATGGAGAATGATGCCCCATTGCTCCTGATGCGGTTTGATGCTTCACGCGTGTTGATATGCATCTTGAGTTAAACTTGAGATTCTCGCAGTGGCATTATATTATATTCCTTGATCATGATTGTGTGCGTGAATACCTAGGGCTATGGATATTGTTGAAGATTTTACTCGATGGAGTCATTAGGGCTTCTTTTCTCCCGATTGTTTTCGTCTGTACTTTGTAGTGTTTTTGGAGGCGGTAAGGTGTAGTAAGGCAGCGTAGATGAACAATCAGGTCTGAAGCTTTTCGAGGATGCGAATTGCAGCAGGGCAGCGAGGCAGCATAGATGACAAATCTGGTCTGAAGCTTTCTGGTATCATAAGAGGCGGTGAGGCATAAGGGCGGCATAGGTGACGAATTCCTTTTCGTCTGATCTTTTTAGAAGGCTTAGTAGGAGCGGTGAGAAGGTTTTAAACCGCCATGTGGATTAAAAAGGTATGGGAAATTGCCGATTATGCGTTCGTCTGATGTTTATGAGTGCCAGTAGAGGGTATAAGTATCATGTGAAGGAAAAGGAGATTAGATTGTTTTGATTGGAAATGGGCTTTGGGCGAGTTTTAGGTGAGATTTGGTATTATGGAAGGAGTGAGACGGGCATTGGGATGAGGAAGCTTGGATGAAGTAGGGAGGTAGATGTGTCTGTAAAAGGGTCTGGTAAAATCTGTTTCTTAGTATTAGCAAATCTTTGTTGTTTAAATGTCGGGTTGGATAAATTGGGGCTAGATATAGTAGCTGATGGGCAGAATTACAAACCTCTGATGAGGGAAAGAAGGAAGATTTTATGATGGTGGTGAGGTGTTTTATGAAGGGGGATTGAGAGTTAAATACGCATCCGGGATAATTCTTTTTCTTTTTTCTTTCATTTCTTTCTCTCCTTATTGAGAATATTATGATGATTGATAATGGGAAATTAAAAACAAGCGATGATTACTTTTGTGGTATCATAGTCATGATAGTCCTGCGAAGGAGAATTGAAAGTAAACAAATACCCCTGACGCCGTCACTCAGTGGGCACGTGACATTGCCATGTATTTTGGACGAGGTTGGAAAAAACATGACAAGGTGTCTGTGAATGAAATTTAGATATAACTGATGATAAAAAGATGTGGGGATTTGGTTCTAAGTGCTGTTCAGTAAGTTTAAGTTGTATTTACTATTGCTGTCTTGTTAAGCAAACTGTGAAAGTGATCTGGGAGATGCCGATCGATGATGGCAGTTGAATCTGAGCTAATGCTCAAATGAAGGCTTTAGACAGGCAAAATATTTATTCTCATGCCTTGGATAACTTGATAAATGGATCAGTGTATTGGGCTCCTGAGCTCGTGTACGTCATCCCTTGAGGATGGCTTTCTCCTCAGGCTTGACCTCAAACAACCCCAAAATAACAACTTGAGCAAACAGCACCACCCTCTCAAATGAGGCAAGGCATTTAGACACATGGCTGAGCAATATTTGATGTTCCGTCCCTGGATTTTGAGACCAAGATAAAGCCCACAATCATCAACGTCATAAAACGCCACAAAACCCACCACAACCACTACCCTTATCACCCACTGACTCCCTCCCCCTCTCACTGGGGTATTTAAGTAAGCCTTTTGTCCTTGTAGCGCAGTGGTTAGCATCTGGAGTTCTTAGCATTTGATTTTCTAATTTTCTTTCCAGCGAATACCTAAGGCAGCGGAAGACGTCGGTTCGATTCCGACCGGGGACAATATTCTTTTCTTCTTTTTTCCCTTTCTTTTTTCTTCTTTTTTTTATCATTATAACTGCAATAAGTAAGCTGAACAACATCAAGCTGCTTTACGTAAGGGAGATAGTCACTCCGGAATTTTAAGTAATGTCCAGCGAATATGAAGGGCTTGTAGTTTGCTGATAAAACCATTTGCCATCATATTTGTACATGCTATTTCCATCATCACCGTCGAGGTTACCTGTAAGATAGCCACAACCGCTTATACTTCAACAGTACTCCCACATATAAATCTACAAGAATTTCTGTCATCTCATTCATGTCATATTAACTGTGAAAAGTATACACTATAACAAAAACCCGCCCTTTCAGGTTTACCATGTCGATGCCCAATTGTCAAAATGTCTTCTTGATATCACGAACTCCTGTTCAAGAAGAAAAAGGCCTTTATTTAAAAGAAAAGGCCTTCCTGAAAATAAAATTGATGCTCTAGAAATGAGCAGGCCTCCCCTACAGAAATAAGGCTGTCTTGAAAATAAATGAGCCCTTTAAAAAGCAGCGAGAGGAAGAGGCACGTTAATAGATGTTGAAGGTGTGTTAATGTTTGTGTTCAGCAGATGGAATCTCTGTCACGTCTTTTAACTATTACTATGTGTTAATCAAGTTTGCTTTGGGAGAGCTGAGAAATAAATATATCTTTTAAAATATCTACAAACATTCAAGATGTTGTAAATATGATGGTAGGAGCAGAGAATTTTACTCTTTAAACTCAGTATAAAGAACTCTATATCAGGATCAAATCTGGACTATTATACAGCCAACCCTCTGTCAGGATGCACTTATCTCTTTCCTTTCTTCTTCTGTTGTTGTGTTCCCAGAGAAAAAGATAAAAAAAACGCTGCAAATAAAACTCTATGCTCTATTGTGTAAAACCCAAAAGCACTCAAGTTCTTTTTTTCTTTCCCACCCTAGAAGTTCGCAACATAAAAGGTTGAAACAAAAGAAGAAAAAAAAAGAATTTTGTAACGCATCTAATATCTAAATGCAAAATGAGACCGGAAAAAATAACCCTCCATTCCACCATTTTTTATTCACACAAAAAGATGCCGCATATTTTTGCCCCGTGACATCCATTTGCCTGCTTGCTGTCTTTCTTTTTTGTCGTCATGACCAAGCCATAAAAACAAAACCGAAAGCTTGCATGAATCTGTCGTCGTTCATTTCCTTCACAACTTTTGTTGTCCGGATTCACCATTACCCCCCCTTCTAACCACCGACCCCCTTTTTAGAGTTTGGGAGAAAGTGGAGACCAAAGAATGGGTGGACCCACTTTAGTAAACAATCGTGGAGTTCACCACCATTGTTTACCACCTCAATCTCCATGCTTTTCTCACCACAAAACCAACTTCTGCATCGTTTGTCGTCGTTTATTTGCCAATCTCTACGCCTCCTACCGCGCCAAGCATTTTCTTCAAATCGCCTGGCTCCCGCAAGAAAAATTAGTATTCGGCGCCACTGGTGATGTTTTGGGTAAAGGGGGGTGAGAAGGATGGAAGGGTTCTTGAGACTTACCATAGATGGCGAACTGGAAGGCAGTAAGGGTGCCGACCATGAAGAGACGAGCACCGATACCGGTGTAAGAGCCCTTGAGACCAAGCTCCTTGGCAATCTTAATGAGACGGGTGGTGGTGCCCTCACCGGGAGCGCCAGGGGTCTTGTTGATCTTAGAAAGCATGGTATCGGCGGGCTGGGAGACGATGGCGGCGGCGAAACCGGCAATGAGACCGGAGCCAAGGTTGGTAGCGGTCTGGAGACCATCGGACATGTCCTTCTTGGGGAAGACGCTGTAGACGGCCTCGGCGACCTTCTCGTAGACGACGAACTTGGACATGGTGTAGGGGATCCTGTTTTATTCCAAATCAGTATTTTTGCGCCCCCAATTGAAGCAGAGCCAGAGCCAGAACAAAACTCACTGCTTGAAGCAGATGGGGCCGAAACCGGCGTAGAAAGCGCCGACACCCTCGGTGGTCAGCATCTTGCTGAAACCACCAACGAGACCGCTGGCATAGGTGGGCTGAGAGACGAGACGGATACGGGTGGCCTCGAGAGGGCAAAGGGCAATATCGGCGAAGAACTCGGCGGCGGCGGAGGAGCCGAGGTAGACGGCGGTGCGGTAGTTGGAGGCGGTGTCATATCCAAGGTAGTTGATGGATTGCTGCTTGAAGAACTCGTATCCACCGAACTTGAGGGCGCCCTGGAGGAAGTAACCGGCGAAGGTAGGGCCGACACCGGTCAAGAGAGCACCGGCACCCTCAGCCTTGACGACCTGCTTGAAGCCACCGATGAGGCCTCTGTTGTAGGTGACGGGGTCGAGCTGGATACGGGTCTTGACGCTGTTGGAGGGGTCGGGTTAGTTATTTGTTTTTGTAGACGTCGGAGGAGCAATTGACGTACACATCGACGGGAGTGAGGAAACCGTGGGTGACGGAGCAGCAGACGGCACCGGCAAAGGCGAATCTGGAGTAGAGCTGAAGGCCGCTCAACTGGGCGGTAGGGGCCTTGACCTCGGTCTTGGAGCTCATTTTGTCTGATTTACAAAAAAAAAGTCGAGATAAAAACGAAGGAGTGGAGTGGTGGTGGTCTTGACGGCTCGGGGGCTTCGAGTTGTCAAGGAGGGTTCTCAATTGAGTGGTTTTCCGGAGACGTTGTGTTTGGCAAATGAGCCTTTTTGGAAAAAGTGAGGTCGGGAGGGTGGGTGGGCTAAATGGGAACTTGAAAAAAAATTGGTCCGGTAAATCCCGGGTATACGGCCAACCCAACACGGGCCACACCCGCACAAAGAGACCCACCAAACGTAATCTGTCAGGGAATGGGATCCCTGAAGATAACAAGATCAAATGTCGGAGATGGAAAAATAAGGTTTTTAATCGCAAGTGGTTTCAATCAATCAATTCTATTCTTTTTCATCAATGATATCTTTTATTTTGTTCAAAATATATCGAATATATCAACAATGAAACCAAAAAAGAAACGAAACATTTAAAATTGGCGCAAAAAGTTTCGTTGTGTCTCGCAATGCTATGCCGCAATTGCGCCGCTTCAACGTCATTGGTCAAATTACAAGAACTGGGACCTGTCGGGTAGGTCCCTGGATGCATGTGCCATGCTGACTCGATGGGAAAGCATTGGCATATGATTGGCTGAGAGAATCTAGATCGCTTTCCTACGAAGCTCTTCCGCAAGCCTCAAAATATAAAACTCCCTCGCGGCCGCTGGAATTTTCTCAAAACTCTTGGCAATCCGCGCAACGTCTTGTCTCCCCTTTTCATACGCCGCCAAGTCACGGTTCCCATAGACATCCCGTCCAGCAGAATACGATGCGCTGCTCAAATCCTTGAAGAAGACATTCACGGCGATGCTGGCATCTGAAGTGGGAGTGGCTGTGTGTAACCATAATGGAGGCAAGAACAGGATCTCTCCCCGACCGAGAACAGCCTCGTGTGGATGTGTCCGCATCAACTCGGGAGATCCCAGGGACGAAAAGACGTCGATGCTTGAACTGGATGCGCCGGGAGCAAACGACAAGAACTCGACATCCGAAGGCGGGAAGAGGATGAGACGTTTGGATCCGCCGATTTGACAGTAAACATTGGCCATCACCTGTGTATTGTCAGCTACAAGACTCAGGATTTGAGGAGAAAACAAGGGACTCACATCGTAGTGCAACCACATATTTACAGGCCCAGACAACCGCAGCACAGAGCTAAAGAGGTTCTCCTCCACCAGAGACAACTGCTCAGGAAGAACAAAGTCGGCAGCCAAAGCTTGAAAGTCCTCTGCAAGCACTGCCGGCTTCTCAGATGGCTTCTCGTTCGAAAGAGCCCGGAGATACAATTTGTCGCCTCTTGCAACTCTCTTGGCGAAATCTCCAAACTCGGTCGTTACGTATTTGAAGTTCTTGGCGTTAAAATCCATCACTTGGCTTGCCGCCTCGTGAACAACGACCTGGTAGTGGTTAGTCACGGATCCAACAGCATTATTAACAAAGTCCACGTACCTTGGTTTCTTTTCCAATCTTTTCGGCAATGTGTTCGAGGGTCCATGCAGAGACGCAACTTCCTACGTCCAAGCCTTCTAATACCACCGGCTGTCCTGTCTGCACTATTTTGATAAAGTCGTCTTTTGTCTTTAGTTGAACCCGTTCGATCGGCTTGATTTGGGCACCTACATCACCGTCAAGTTGTTGTTTTGAGGCGGTAGTGCTCCTTTCGCCTGGAATGATATCAACGGTTCTTTCGTGTACCCAGCGAGGGCCGGTACCAGAGGCAGCATTGTCATCGGCAGATGGTAGACTTAGAGTGTAAACGCCTTTGTTCCAGAATGTTCCCATTGAGAAGCAGGTTGCTCCTCCCCCCATGGTCACTATCTGGCCATATTTGAGGGAGACAGTTGAGTGTCCGGTAAAGAGCGGGCGAGGAATAGACGATTCTCCTCTGACAATACGTCGCGTGATCTTAAAGGTACTCTCTGTTGTAGAAAAGGCCAAAACTTCGTCCTGATGAGACAGGATATGATCTCTGGCCACTCCGCCCACTAAGATGTACTCATCGCCGTGTCGAACACAGGACGCTCCAAACCTTGTGACAAGTCGGTAAGAATCGTTCTCGCTGAGATCCTCTGACGGACGGAGACGAGTGAATGTGATTCTGGGTTTCTACAAATCGTTAGCGACATTGATATCATCCCAGGCGAAAGGAGCGTTGTCGCCCCAAAACCACCACTTTACGGTGATGTGGGTGCCCAAAAGTTGTACGGACCTTGACATCGTCAAAGTTTGCCTTCCAAGATAGTACCTGATCGACAAGAAGCCCATTCTCGTCAATACCGCCAGCATATATGCCACCGAGAGAATATTCGGAGGAGCAAAGAACTGCTCCATAGACTGCTGTTGGTTTATCACCATCCACTTCCAATTCTCGCCAACCGCATGCAGGATGGAAAGCCAAACAACCGCCAAATAT